CTGCGCGCGCTGCTCTGGCGAGACTCCAGGCTGATACCCCGCCGCAAGATCCGCGACCGCCCCAGACCCCCAGGTGCTCACAACCTAAGGCCCTCGTGCCGCCCCTTCCGCTCTCCCTCTCCCTCGCCCCTGCCAGCGCCGACCCGCTCCGCCGCCCCGCCGCAGCAGAGGCGCTCTCCGGAGAAGGTGCGGGGGCCCCGGGGGCGGCCGGCGCGGGCGGGCCGTGTTGCCGTAGAGCTCGGCGTTGGGCGGCAGGGGCCTCTCGTTCGTGAAGCCGGTGCGCTGGCCTGTCCCACGCACCCCCGTCGGAGAGGGCATCGAGGAGCAGCGAGGAGCATGCTTTCCCGCGTGACAAGGACAATGAAGGGTTATAACAACCGATGACATCCGCCAGTGACCACGGTCGCCAGTCGCAGGAGGTGTGTCCTGCGAGCGCGGTTGTACGCCAGACCGGAAAAAGGAGAGGAGGAGGAGGAGGAGGAGGAGGAGAAAAATATATGCTGAAGTGCTCCTCGATGGAGGAGCCTCGAGGAGCACTTTGACACACATGTATATATATGTATTTATATATATAGATGTATGTATACATATATATATATATATATATATAATTCCTCGGCGAGGCACGCCGAAGAGCATCCAGGATCGCCCCGCGACAAAGATCGGCGCCCGCAGAGCCGAAGCAGTGCACGGGGGAGGGGCGGTCCAAGCGAGGGCGAGCGCCCGGCAGGGGAGGGCGGGCCGTCCCCCCTGCGGGGCGGCCCCCCCGACGAGTGGCGGGTCCACGGGCCGCCCCGCGGGGAGGGCAGAGGGGGCCCCCCGCCGCGCCCCCTCTGCCCTTCGGAAGGGCAGAGGGGGCAAACGAACCTACCTCGCTTTTGACCACCCTCGCTTCCAAGAGCTACCAAGCGATGCCAAACTACGGCCCGCACTGGTCAGGCCGCTCGACGGGGAGGCGCGTGGTATGACTTGGTTTTGCCTGGAAGCGAAAGCGCGGTAGGCAATTCACGCTCTGCCCTCCCCGCCTCCTCGGCCGGGCGGGGCGGGGCGGGGGCGCTGCACTGCCGCTGGGCCTTCAGCGCTCTCACTGCTCGGCCCCCGCGGCTCCCCACGATGGGGGGGGGGCCAGGAGGCGCCGCGGGGCACGACGCGTCCTCCTGCCGAGTCCATCCGACGCGATCCCCGCCGCCTCGGGTCGGTCGGGCGGTGGCGCACGTGGCGGCTCCTCGTGAGGTCCTGGGCGCCACCCGCCCAGCCTGGTGGCCCGTTCGAGCACGCACCTCGCGAAGCCGCGCGTCGCAGCATCACCCCGCCTCCTGCCTCCTCTCTGCCTCCCTACCGCGCTCCCTCTCTCCCTCCCTCCCTCCCTCCCTCCCTCCCTCCTCCCTCCCCCACCGTCCTCCCGTTCCCCCACCGTCCCCCACCGTCCTCCCTCCCTCCTTCCTCCTCCCTCCCTACCTCCCTCCCCCCTCCCTACCTCCCTCCTCTCCTCCCTACCTTCCTACCTCCCTACCTCCCTACCTCCCAAGATCGAGGTGTGCCACAATTGGTTCTTTTGTTGCGGGAGGAGTAAAGGAAATAGGCAGGGCCCTCTTACTCGCTGAACCTGGCTAAATTGAGCGCCCTCCCCTCTCTCGAACAAGAGAAACCAGCATAAACATAAACTTCTGACAATCCACGCGGACTTCTTGGATCTGCGCTGGACATTCCTCACTGCGCGCGGAGCGCGCCAGGGCCGGCGCCGGAGGCAAAGCCAGGGGGCTCCGACGCAGATCCAGGAAATCTGCGCGGACCGCCAAAAGTTGTTTATGTTGGAGAGAGCGTGATCCACCGCCGCTTTACAATGGAAAATTCCCCCCCCCACTTCCTCCGGAACCCGGGGGTCCCCCTTCGAAACCCCCCCTGCTGAACCCCCCCCCTTCCCCCGGCAAAAACCCCCCCGCCCTAACGCCTCCCCCCCCCCTCCGGAAAACTGGGGGGCGTCACTACCAGCTCGAAGCCCCCCCCGTCCAGAAAACCGGGGGAGGTCACTACTGGTCCGACCCCGCTCCCCCCCCTCGCCGCCGGCAAACGATTCCCGCTCGATCGGGACAGTGGGACAGCGGAAAACCGGGGGGGGGGTCACCACCGGTTCGAGCCCCCCCACCCTCCAGAAAACCCGAGGGGGTCACTTCCGGTTCGAAAACCCCCCGCCCCCCCCCCTCCAAAAAACCAACGGGGGTCACTACCGGTTCGAACCCCCCCCCCCTCCAGAAAACCGGAGGGGGTCACTACAAGTTCGAACCCCCCGCCGCCCCCCCCCAACAGCGGAAAACCATGGGGGGGTCACTACCGGTTCGAACCCCCCCCCCTCCGGAAAACCGAGGGGGTGGTCACTACCGGTTCGACCCCCCCCCTCCAAAAAACTGGGCGGGGGTCACTACCAGTTCGAACCCGCCCACCCACCCCCTCACCGCCGGCAAACGACTCCCGAATCCCCACCGCCGTCCGCACCAAATCCCCCACCGCTGTCCCTAGCACCACCGTCCACACCACCACTGTCCCCACTTTTCCCACCACCGCACCACTGTCCCACTGTCCCCACTGTCCCCACTGTCCCACTATCCCCGCCGCTGTCCCACTGAGCTGTCCCACTGTTCCCACCACTGTCCCCACCACTGTCCCGACTGTACCCCTGTCCCACTGTCCCACCACCGTCCTCACCGCCGCCCTCACCACTGTCCCCACCACCACCATCCCCACCACTGTCCCACTGTCCCAACTGTCCCCACCACTGTCCCACTGTCCCCACACCACTGTCCCTACCACCACCGTCCCCACCACTGTCCCGCTGTCCCACCACTGTCCCAGTGTCCCCACTGTTACCACCCTTGTCCCCGCTGTCCCCACCAGTGCCCCCACCAGTGCCTCACTGTCCCCACTGTCCCCACCATTGAGAGAGAGGAGGAGGAGGAGGAGAGAACCTGGAGGAACCCAAGAATGAGAGGAACCCTGGAGGAGAGAGCAGAAGAGAGAGAGAGAGGAGGAAAAGAGAGAGAGGAGGAGGGGAGAGAGAGAGAAGGAGGAGGAGGAGGAGGAGGAGGAGGAGGAGGAGGAGGAGGAGGAGGAGGAGGAGGAGGAGAAATGATGAGGAAACACTGGGGGCCAGCAGGCAAGAGAGGCGCTGGGCGAAACCGAGAACACGAGATGCCTCACGACCCGAGGGGGCCCCGGGGCCGCTCCCACGAGGCGCACGCCGCGCCACGCCTCCGCGCGCGGGGGCCGGCGCGGAGAGAGCGCTCGGGCCGCGGGCCGCCGCGGGAGGCCGCCGCGCCTCCCTGCCCGAAAGAGCCGGCCGCGGGCCGTCGTGGCTCCCCCCCGGGGGCTGCTGCCGGGGGGGGGGGGTCGCCGGCAGCCCCCCGTCCGACGGACGCCGCCTGCCTTCGAGTGGGCCAGGAGTAAGGAGGGATGAAGGAGGGATGAAGGAGGAGTAGTCCCCAGTTGGGGGGGATGAAGGAGGGATTAGGGAGGGATTAGAAGATGAAGGAGGGATTCAGGAGGGACTAAGGAGGGAGTAGGGAGGGATTAAGGGTGGTTTTCGTCGGAGGGATGAAGGAGGATGAAGCCCCATTTGTGGGGGCTGTTGCGCCGGAGTGGGCCTCGGACTAAGCCGGATTCAGCGGGATTCGGCCCACAGAACCTGGACAAGGGCGCTCCACGACTCGCAGAGCAGCTGCTCGCAAGTGGCCTGGCCTGGACACGCCGCGGGGGATCCGCGATGAAGTGCCTCAAAGCCGACAGCTGTTCTTCGGACGTTTGCGAGTGGGCACTCTTGCGAGCAGTGGAACGCGCTGGGTGAGGATCGGTTCGCCCCAGCACTTTGATTTCCTCGTCGAGTCCGAGAGGAGGCCGGGCCCGCGAAGGCGGCCGGGCGCGGTCATCAGGGGCCCGTTTTCCCCCGTCGGCCATGGGTCGGGGGCTGCCGCTCGCGGGCAGGAGGCGGCCGCTTCATTGGTGCAGCACTGAGCCGGACACGCGTGGGCCTCACAGCCGAAAGCAGAATCATGAGCACTCCAGATTTCGTAATAAAGGAGGGGGGAGGGGGGTCTCATTTCGGGGGGGGGTCTCTTCCAGGCCATCTTGGAGGGCCTGGGGGGGTCTGGGGACGATGTTTGGAGGGTTCTCCCACGGGGGGGGTCTGAAATGGCCTGTCTTGGAGGGTCCAGACCCCCTCCCTTTTATTACGAAGTCTGGAGTAGCGTTCAACCGATCCCCATCCCCAGCGGCGTAGCCTGGGCCCAACTGGCCGATCTACCCCCCCAGATGGGGATATGGGTCGTTCCCTTCGGGTTTCGAGGGGTGTATCCCCAACTGGGGTGGGAGTTTGGTGGGGTCTCGAAGGGGATGAGGATGGGGATGGGGATCGGTTGAACGATACCGAAATCAGGAGCATCCTCGTTTCAGGAGCCTGGGCCAGCTTGTCCGGATCAAGCCTGGGCCAGCCGGTTGTGCCAAAGCTGGAGGGGAGAGCGGGACCACGGAGCGGGGCCAGCTTTTTCCGACAAGGTGGTTGCGGGACGCTGGCACAGCTTTTCGGCAGGTTGCTCAATCAGATGCTCGACTGTACTGGTGAATCAAGCGGTATTCGCGTAGCACGCGCGGTCTGGCGCGCTCTCCCTGGAAGGGGCAACTCCGTACTGGCGGGGCGGTGGAAGTGGTGAACTGTCGGGGTGCTGTTGGAATTCGTGGGATTGGTGGGGGGTGGAGCTGATGGGGATTCGTGGGCGGGTAATTGTGGAGTGGTGGGAATGGCACAATCAGCGCATGCAGGAGGAGTGAAGGAGGAGGGAAGGAGGAGGGAAGGAGGAGGGAAGGAGGAGAAGGAAGAGGAGGAGGAGAAGAAGACTAACCAAAACAAATGAGGAGGAGAAAGAAGGAGGAGGAGGAGGAGGCGGAGGAAAAGCAGGACGAGGAGTATGGAGGAAGAGGAGAGGGGAGGGAGGGCGGGAGTGAGGAGGGAGGGAGGATTGAGGGAGGAGGCCAATCTCTCACCCGCGGGTGCCAGCATGCGTACGAAAAGTGAAGGCGAGCGGAGGACCTGAAAATAGCAAAAGCGGGACCCCGAAAGCGAGGCGCTTTGCCAAAAGTTGCCGCGCTCTGAAAAACATGAGTTCGCCTACCTGTAGCACACGCTAATGCGATACTCCTAACAAAAAAGAGGATAGACTACATTCGCTCCCAAAGAGGACTGGGCCTGGGGCTGCGCCGCGAAAACATGGCTTGCAAGGTGGAAGCGGACAGGTGATCAAGGGCAACAGTGGGATGGGGCAGAGAGACACGTCCCAGTCGAGAGCAAAGAACAATTCACGGTGCACGTAAAGAACAAGTCGGTGCTCCGCTGGAGCGAAGCTGCTCGACTCGTGCAGACCGGCTGCCAGCGCTAATCTACAAAACTTCGCGCGGACCGATCTGCGACACCTACTCGGGTTCGGACGGGAGAGGGGCAATGAGTAAAGTTATGTCGGGCGTGTCCCCCTACAGGGGGAGTTTCGACGAAAAATAAGAAATACCGAAAAATACACCAAAGAGGTAAAAAATACCACAAAAAGTAGGTCCCCAGGATATTTTTGGACTATTTTGGGACTATTTACTCGGGCATCTCATATTTGTCGTCGAAAATCCCCCCTGTAGGGGGACAGGCCCGACTCGAGAGCGCAGCTGCTTGGGCGCGGACCAGCTCTCGCGTCGGCGCCTCCCTGGCGCGGAGGCGCCCGTGCACTGAGGCAGGCCCGGGCGGCGGGCGGGGGCGACGCCAGCGGCGTGCCCCAGCTGTCGCTGTGGTGCGCGTCCCCCCTCCCCCTTCTCCATGATCGGGGAGACGTAAGACTCGGGTACGGGGGACCCGGGTTGGCCTGACGGGGGCCATCATAAAAATGACGCAACCCTGTCTGAAATCTGACGCGGGCTCCCGCTGCAGACACCCCACGAGAACGGGATTGTCAAAATCCAGGACGCGCTCGTCAAAAAACAATCGGCAAACCCGAGATCCGGCTTACTCGAGTCTTACGTCTCCCCGACGTGAGGGCGCCGAGACGAGATCTGTGAGCACCCTGGGCTCGGGCGCGGTGCACGTGTGCACGCCTCCCTGGCTTCGAGGGGAGAGCGCGCGCCGCGTGCTCTGATCCTGGGCGCGGGGGGGCGCTGGATGCGTCTGGATTTAGGTCCGGCACGTCCTCCGGCAGGCGGATTTGGGGCGAAAAATAAAAGATTATCAAAAATAGTCAACCAATAATCGACAAATCATCCCGGGACTTTTTTTTGCTACTTTCGAATATTCCTCCTGTGGATGGACATGCCCGACTTCAGTCTAAATCTTGGCGCCCCATCCCTGACAGGGGCAGCGAAAAGACACCCAGACCACGGCTCCACGGACCACTCCTGGGGCGCGCCCGGACCAGCACCTCGGGGCGAATCCGGCCGTGGCGACGAGGGTTTCCCAGGAGGTCCACGAAGGGGAAAAAAGACGGAAGGGCAGCATCGGTCAGCACCGCCTCGGGAAATCGGAACGGATCCCACCGTTCATCCCAACGTGCCGCATCGCCACGGCATCGGAACCGAACCGGGTCGGCTGCGGCGGGATGCACAACGGCGCCGTGCAAGCACCAGTTCCATCGGATCGGCGGGCAGTCGGCTTCGACGAATCCGATCGAGCCGGCTGGACTCGGTGTCGAATCGGAGCGATCGGATTGGAGTGGACCCTGAAAGGCGGCGGTATCCTCCTCCTCCTCCTCCTCCTCCTCCTCCTCCTCCTCCTCCTTCTCCTCCTCCTCCTCCTCCTCCTCCTTCTCCTCCTCCTCCTCCTCCTCCTCCTCCTGCTCGTCGTCCTCATCCTCATCCTCATCTCTCCTCCTCCTCCTCCTCCTCCTCCTCCTCCTGCTCCTCCTCCTCCTCCTGCTCCTCCTCCTCCTCTTCCTCCTCCTCCTCCTGCTCGTCGTCCTCCTCCTCCTGCTCGTCGTCCTCATCCTCATCTTCATCCTCCCTCCTCCTCCTCCTCCTCCTGCTCCTCTCCTCCTCCTCCTCCGCCTCCGCCTCCTCCTCCTCCTCCTCCTCCTCCTCCTCCTCCTCCTCTTCCTCCTCCTCCTCCTGCTCCTCCTCCTCTTCTTCATATTATTACTAAAATTCTTAGTATTATTAGTAGTAGTATTGTTCGTCTTAGTCTTATGAATATTACTACTATTAATAGTAGTAGTAGTAGTATTATTATTAGTAGTAGTATTACTATTATTATTATTAGTATTATTATTATTAGTAGTAGTATTATTATTACTACAAGAACTACTACTACTACTACTACTACTACTACTACTACTACTACTACTACTACTACTACTACTACTACTACTACTACTACTACTACTACTACTACTACTACTACTACTACTACTACTACTACTACTACTACTACTACTACTACTACTACTACTACTACTACTACTATTCTTATTAGTATTATTAGAATTAGTATTGCTAGTACGACTATCATTATTAGTAGTATTCGTAATAGTATTATTAGTATCAGTATTATTATTCTTAATATTATTATTAGTATTATTACTAGTGTTCTTATTGATATTATTCATAGTATTATTATTATTAGTAGTAGTAGTATTACTATTACTATTATTAGCATTAATATTATTTTCATTATCAGGAGTATCATTATTAACAGTATTATCATCATTATTATTAATAGTATTACTGCTCTTCTTATTCGTATTACTAGTATTCTTAATCTTATTATTGATATTATTATTCGTCTTCTTCTTCTTATTAGTATTACTATTCTTATTATTATTATGATTATGCTTATTATTATGGTTCGTATTCGTCTTCTTGATATCATTATTATTAGTCTTAGTATTATTATTATTATTCCTCCTCCTCCTCCTCCCTCCCTCCTCCTCCTCCTCCTCCTCCTCCTCCTCCTCCTCCTCCTCCTCCTCCTCCTCCTCCTCCTCCTCATCATCCCCCTCAAGACGAGCGCGTACCACTGCTCGCAGGGTAGCTACTCGCAAATGGCCCGGAGCCGCCATGAAGGATCCACGATACGGCAGGTTCGTGCCGTGCCGACCCCAGCGTTGGTTTTTGACACCGCAGGGATCGTTCAACCTTGAACGATCGGCCGCTGCCGCAACGTCCGATCGTTCAACATCGATCGATTCTGGATCGCCGGCGGAGTTCAACCTTGAACGCCCGCGCTGGGGTCGCCGCTGGTCGACACGACGCAAACCTACCGTACGCTGCATCTGAGCAGGCATGTGAACAACGATTGGAACGGATCTCACGCGAGATGGCACAGGGACCTTGCGCGGCGGCTTACGCGGGCCGCCGGCGCGGCACGCCACATCGGAGACGAGGGCGCTTACGCGCGACATTGCGCGGGCAGTTTGCGCGCGAACGTCAGCGCAGCCGAACCCTTTTTTCTGCGTCGCTCTTTTGTTTTTGTTTCTGGGTTTTTTTCCAACACAGGGGGTTTGCCTCCACAGGAGTGAGATGATCCTAGATTTCGGTGCTGGTGGTAGTAGTTCGGTCACCTTGGAAGCCAGAATAGTACCACCATCAACGAGATCGGGATCCTCTTCCCTCGGTGGAGGAACACCGCCGATACTGGTGTCGGTGTCAACCTCTGGGCCTGCGAACGTTGCGAGGCGTGGAACGCGCGCGGTGAGCCGGAGGGATCCGGGCTTGGCGAGGCTGAGTATCGTTTAACCGATCCCCATCCCCACCAGCGTGGGCTGGGCCCCACTGGCCGATTTACCCCCCTGGATGGGGATATAGGCCGTACCCTTCGGGTTTCGAGGGGTGTATCCCCAACGGGGGGTGGCAATTTGGTGGGGGTCTCGAAGGGGGTGAGCATGATGAGGATCGGTTTACCGATACTGTTAGGTCGGGCCTGTCCCTCTACAGGGGGATATTGGGCAAACAATGGAGAGAACAAAAAAAAAAATCAGAAAGTACCCTAAAATATTCAAAATGATGAGAAAATCGTCCCCAGGCTATTCTTTTGACTATTTTTTAGCTTTCCTCCTGCAGAAGGACAGGCCCGACTTGAGCATACCGAGAGGCGGGCGGCGCCCCCGCGGGCAGGGGGCCGGCAGGGGGCCGCGCCAGAGGCCGCCCTCTGGACGCCCGAAGTGGGCACGGAAAGGATGGGAACGATGCCCAGCAGCAAATGCTGCCCCAAACCAACAGCGGCCGCTGTTGGGCAGGCGGCCTTCTGACTACCTACCAGACCACCCCAACCCAACCCGAAGACCCGAATTTCGGGTTGGGGGGGCATCAGGGTTCCACGCGTGTCTTTGTCGACGTTTCCCGACCCCCCCCCCACTAGAAATCGAGGGTAAATCTGAGCCTTCGGGTTGGGTTGGGGTGGTTTGGTGGGTGGTGACCTTCTGTCTCGAATGGACACAGGCCGCGGCGACGTGGACAGCGCGTCCTGTCCAGAAGGAACCAGATCCGCTGTTGGGCATCGTGCCCACTCTTTCCGCACCCATTCGGCGGTGGACAAACCTCCCTTTCATAAACCTCCCCTTAGTGAGAACGGCCTGGGACCGAGACCGACGCACCCGGGCACGCAAAAGCGACGGCCGCGGCGCCCTCCCGCGAATCGAAGACGGCCAATTCCTCAATCGACGCGTCAGGGCGGGAGGTCTGTCCACCCCCGACCCACGTCGCTCGTGCCAAGCCCCGGGGGGGGGGGGGGAGGGGCAGCGCCCGCGCCGTCAGGCCGCCTCGAAGAGGTCGGGCCGCACGCCCAGCAGCCGCACGCTGGCCGACCTCCGCGGGCGGCCGCGGGGCGCGGGGCGCTCGGAGCCCCCTCCGCCGCGGGCCATAGGGGCCCAGTCACGGCGGGAGGCTGTTGGCCATCTTCGGCCTACCGTCATCGGCCTGACCTCAGGAACGATAAAAGAAGGAACGGAGCCCCTCTTTTATATCCCGAGGAAGAACGCATAAGGAACGATAAAATAACAATTATCCTGGCGAAAGACCCAACCATAAGCAATTGTTGGTAACGCGTTGTGGGTGCCGCTTTCGGTGGGGCTCCATATGGGGCCACGAAGCGCTGCCTTGGATGGGGGAACCGCATGCGGACTGCGCCACCGGGGCGGGCCTTCGGTGGAGCTCCCTATGGGGCTACGAAACGCTGCCCTGGGTGGGGGAACCGCATGCGAACTGCGCCACTGGGGCCTTCGGTGGAGCTCCCTATGGTGCCACGAAACGCTGCCCTGGGTGGGGGAAGCGCATGCGAACTGCGCCACGGGGGCTTTCGGTGGAGCTCCCCATGGGGCCACGAAGCGCTGCCCTGGGTGGGGGAACCGCATGCGAGAGCAGCCACTGGGGCCTCCGGTGGAGCTCCCTATGGGGCCACGAAACGCTGCCCTGGGTGGGGGAACCGCATGCGAACACCCCCACTGGGGCCTTCGGTGGAGCTCCCTATGGGGCCACGAAACGCTGCCCTGGGTGGGGGAACCGCATGCGAACACCCCCACTGGGGCCTTCGGTGGAGCTCCCTATGGGGCCACGAAACGCTGCCCTGGGTGGGGGAACCGCATGCGAACACCCCCACTGGGGCCTTCGGTGGAGCTCCCTATGGGGGAAAAACCGCGAAAAGCGCTGGGGCGAAACGCTGGGGGGGGGAACCGCATGCGAACACCCCCACTGGGGCCTTCGGTGGAGCTCCCTATGGGGCTACGAAACGCTGCCCTGGGTGGGGGAACCGCATGCGAACACCCCCACTGGGGCCTTCGGTGGAGCTCCCTATGGGGCCACGAAACGCTGCCCTGGGTGGGGGAACCGCATGCGAACACCCCCACTGGGGCCTTCGGTGGAGCTCCCTATGGGGCTACGAAACGCTGCCCTGGGTGGGGGAACCGCATGCGAACACCCCCACTGGGGCCTTCGGTGGAGCTCCCTATGGGGCCACGAAACGCTGCCCTGGGTGGGGGAACCGCATGCGAACACCCCCACTGGGGCCTTCGGTGGAGCTCCCTATGGGGCTACGAAACGCTGCCCTGGGTGGGGGAACCGCATGCGAACACCCCCACTGGGGCCTTCGGTGGAGCTCCCTATGGGGCCACGAAACGCTGCCCTGGGTGGGGGAACCGCATGCGAACACCCCCACTGGGGCCTTCGGTGGAGCTCCCTATGGGGCTACGAAACGCTGCCCTGGGTGGGGGAACCGCATGCGAACACCCCCACTGGGGCCTTCGGTGGAGCTCCCTATGGGGCCACGAAACGCTGCCCTGGGTGGGGGAACCGCATGCGAACACCCCCACTGGGGCCTTCGGTGGAGCTCCCTATGGGGCACGAAACGCTGCCCTGGGTGGGGGAACCGCATGCGAACACCCCCACTGGGGCCTTCGGTGGAGCTCCCTATGGGGCCACGAAACGCTGCCCTGGGTGGGGGAACCGCATGCGAACACCCCCACTGGGGCCTTCGGTGGAGCTCCCTATGGGGCTACGAAACGCTGCCCTGGGTGGGGGAACCGCATGCGAACACCCCCACTGGGGCCTTCGGTGGAGCTCCCTATGGGGCCACGAAACGCTGCCCTGGGTGGGGGAACCGCATGCGAACACCCCCACTGGGGCCTTCGGTGGAGCTCCCTATGGGGCCACGAAACGCTGCCCTGGGTGGGGGAACCGCATGCGAACACCCCCACTGGGGCCTTCGGTGGAGCTCCCTATGGGGCTACGAAACGCTGCCCTGGGTGGGGGAACCGCATGCGAACACCCCCACTGGGGCCTTCGGTGGAGCTCCCTATGGGGCCACGAAACGCTGCCCTGGGTGGGGGAACCGCATGCGAACACCCCCACTGGGGCCTTCGGTGGAGCTCCCTATGGGGCCACGAAACGCTGCCCTGGGTGGGGGAACCGCATGCGAACACCCCCACTGGGGCCTTCGGTGGAGCTCCCTATGGGGCTACGAAACGCTGCCCTGGGTGGGGGAACCGCATGCGAACACCCCCACTGGGGCCTTCGGTGGAGCTCCCTATGGGGCCACGAAACGCTGCCCTGGGTGGGGGAACCGCATGCGAACACCCCCACTGGGGCCTTCGGTGGAGCTCCCTATGGGGCACGAAACGCTGCCCTGGGTGGGGGAACCGCATGCGAACACCCCCACTGGGGCCTTCGGTGGAGCTCCCTATGGGGCTACGAAACGCTGCCCTGGGTGGGGGAACCGCATGCGAACACCCCCACTGGGGCCTTCGGTGGAGCTCCCTATGGGGCCACGAAACGCTGCCCTGGGTGGGGGAACCGCATGCGAACACCCCCACTGGGGCCTTCGGTGGAGCTCCCTATGGAGCCACGAAGCGCTGTAATGGGTGGGTGAAACGCAGAGAGGAGGGAGGAGAGGGAGGAGGAGGGAGGAGGAGGGGGAGGAGGAGGAGGAGGAGAGGAGAGGACGCGGGCACCGTCTCTTCAAAACGAGGACCCAACACCACAGGATGGTTGGGAAATAGCGCATAAGGCACTGCAAATAATAACGCATGCAAACCTACGGAACGACCGAGCCCCTTTTGAAAAGTAAGTGTTCCTTATTTAAGCCGCTCAGTGTACCTGGGCAAGAGTGACCCTGGGCAAGAGTGACCTTTTGGTGCGCGGACAACGGAACGGAACGGAACGGAACGCCTGTGCGGGCATGCGCCCGGGCCCCTTGAGGGCGAGGCGGGTGGGGCCACGGCCTCGCATGAGAAGCTGCGCGCGTCGGGGGTCTACTAAGGACAATGCGTACCTCAGGAGCTGAGTTCCCGACAGTCCCCACTCATCCGTTTTCTCATGATGTAGCCACGTCGTCTCGTTGAAATCGTAGTGACCCTGGGCAAGAGTGACCTTTGGTGCGCGGACTAAGGGAGCGCAAAGCTGCCGAATCCAGGCGCGCAAGCAGCCGCTGAGGCAGCAAGCTCATTGCTCGGAGGGACCCCGGTGAGCCCGCACCAAAGGTCACTCCGGCGAAAGGCCACTCTTACGTGTAGTCGATATCTTCGGCCTCGGGGGGCCCTTAACCGGCCCTCGGGACCGCCGAAAAACAGCTCAGCATGAAGCACGCGCCATGGAAAAGTCACGGCGGGAGCCTTTTTCAAGGACGGCTCAAGAAGGGTGATCTCGACGGCTGCTGGGGCGCCTCAAGTCGTGCTGGAGTGCCTCTGAGGTCGGGCTGGAGGGGCCTCGAGTCCAGCGAAACCAGTCTTGTCCAACGAACCCTCCTGGCAGCCTCCGATTGTTGGCTATCTTCGGCCTCCGGGGGCCCGTACTGGCCCTCGGGGCCGGCAAAAGACAGCTCCGCATGAAGCACGGGTCCTGGGGAATGGGTTGGGGGTCGACACTATGGAAAAATCATGGCGTCGGGGGTCCGGGGAGGAGGGGGAGGAGGAGGAGGAGGAGGAGGAGGAGGAGGAGGAGGAGGAGGAGGAGGAGGAGGAGGAGGAGGATCAGGAGGAGGAGGAGGAGGAGGACGAGGAGGAGGAAGAGGAGGAGGAGGAGGAGGAGGAGGAGGTGGAATATGACGTCGGGGGTCCGCGGAGGGCGGGAGACCCTCGGAGCCGGGCGCTGCAGTTCTTCTTCACACACCGGGCGCTCCCGCAGGGCATCGGGCCCCGGGAGCCTCACGGATCGGTGCGGCTGGGGAGAGGAGGCGGAGAGGTGGGGCCCAGGACGCCCGTCCTGCACGTCGTGCATTTCTCGACGTGATCATTTCTGATTGTTTTTTTTTCGCCCTCGTCTGCTCTACATGACCTTCCGCAGCCTTCGGATCACGGAGCGAGCACCTGGATCATATGCTTCCAGCGCGCGGGGCTCGTTTCTGATTGTTCCTGGCCACCCAGTAGCCAGGAAGAGGCCCAGGATAGAAGAATGAGAAATGAGAGGCTCTGGGCCCCCCCCAAAAAAAGAACTCTCGAAGAACTAGAAATGAACAAGGTGTACTTTTTCGCGAGGCTGCCTTCTTGTTTTCGCAGCGCCGGGCCTTCAGGAAGTGCGAAGGGGCGGGCCTGCTCAGAAGGCTCGGGAGCCCGCCGGGCCTTCTGAGAAGCTTCCTGAGCGAGCCCCACCCCCCGAAGACGCAGAAAACATTTCCCTCCTCCTCCTCCTCCTCCTCCTCCTCCTCCTCCTCCCCCTCCTCCTCACCTCCTCCTCCTCTCCTCCTCCTCCTCCTCCTCCTCCTCCTCCTCCTCCTCCTCCTCCTCCTCCTCCTCCTCCTCCTCCTGCTCCTCCTCCTCCTCCTCCTCCTCCCCCTCCTCCTCCCCCTCCCCCTCCTCCTCCTCCGACGACGACGACGGCGGCGGGACTTTTTTCTCTGCGAGCCCCCCTTCGCCCCCGCGAGCTGTCGTGGCCGCCGGCCGGCCTCTTCGGGTTCTCGGGGAGCGGGCCGGAGGAGCGCGGCCACGGCCGCGCCCGTGCCTGCTTTCTCGTTCACCGTGCTCCCGGCCCCGCCCTTTCGTCCCCCTTCCGCACTGACACGATCTGGTTACTGCATCCCCCTCGAAAGCAAGCGCAAGTTTCTCCCGCGGCGTGGCGGCGCCCCAAGACCCCAGGACTTCAGCGGTCGTGCCCAAACTGGCGACTGGGAACAAAAAAAATCGGACCCAGCGGGCCGCGTTTCGCGCCTCGACCGCCATTAAAGCCCTGCGTTTGAGTTCGAGGAGGGTCGTACCCTCCTCTCTCCCCCGACTCTGTCCGGAGAGCGCCCCGTCCTCTCCGCGCCTTGTTTTTTTACACACGCGATTCCATGTGGCTTGTGCTCGGTTTGTTGTCCTATGTGTTGAGAGCGCCCCGTCCTCTCCGCACATTGTTTTTTGCACACGCGATTCCATGTGGCTTGATTTTTGTTTGCTGTCCTATGTGTTTGTCCAACCCGGTCGTTTTTGGTTCTTCCAAAAGCGTGCTCCCGCTGCGGCGCCGCCCTCACGTCCGCGCTTCGGTCCTTCAAAATCGTGCTCCCGCTGCAGCGCCGGCCTCGTTCCCGCTGGCCGCCCGGGGCTCCCGGTGCTCTGTGGGGCCCAGGGAGGCGCGGAAGGGGGTCCGAGGAACGCGAGGCAGCGCGTCGAAAGGAGCGGGGGGGGGGCTTCAAAAATCCCGCTGCCCTTACCAGGCGGCGCTTGGCACTCGAGAGCGCCCACATCGGGCAGGCACGCTTGCGGAGGACATGGAGCTGGCATTCCGGACAGGCCCTGTCCTCGTCGTAGACGGGCCACCGACCCTCCTAGTCATCCGGTGCCACGCCACGGCATGCAAAGCGATGCTGTGTTGTACGCCGCACAATGCCATGCCATGCTATGCCGTGCTATGGCATGCCGTGCTCCGTTGCGCCATGCTGTTCTGTCCATGGCGTACCCTTTTGGAATCATCGCACTGCTCGACATCCGACTGTGCGAATATATAAGAGATCTACACCATGGTAAAGGATAGGAGGGGGGGTAGGAAGTCGGATGTGACGCTAGCGCACCTAGCTTGCCTCCTCACACTCCCCCCTCTCGGCGGCGAGCGAGGGGGGAAGGCGGCGGGAACTTCTCAGAAGCCCCCGCGCCCTCTGAGAAGATGTTCCTGCGCCTTCGGAGAGGTCCCAGAGCACTTTTCTCAGGAAACCAAGGGCCTTCCGAGCCTTCAGAGGAAGCCCGCCTCCTCCTCCTCCTCCTCCTCCTCCTCCTCCTCCTCCCCTCCCTCCTCCTCCTCCTCCTTCCTCCTCTCCCTCCTCCTCCTCCTCCTCCCCCCCCTCCTCCCCCCTCCTCCCCTCCTCTCTTCCTCCTCCTTCTCCTCCCCCCCCTCCTCCCCCTCCTCCTCCTCCTCCTCCTCCTCCCCCCTCCTCCTCCTCCTCCTCCTCCTCCTCCTCCTCCTCCTCCTCCTCCTCCTCCTCCTCCTCTCCTCCTCCTCCTCCTCCTCCTGCTCCTCCTCCCCCCTCCTCCTCCTCCTCCTCCTCCTCCTCCTCCTCCTCCTCCTCCTCCTCCTTCGCACTTCCCCCCCGGGCTCGCCGCCGACCTCAAGGAGCGCACGAGGTCCAGGGGCGACTGCAGCGCCTTGGCGCCCTCGGGCGCCACCTCTGTCGTTTGAGGGCTCAACGACTTCTGCCGTCCCTCGACTCGCGCTGGAGCGGCCACGATCTGCTCCACCTCTCCCTGGAGATCCCAAGAAGTCCTCCCCGTCTCCTCCTCCTCCTCCTCCTCCTCCTCCTCCTCCTCCTCCTCCTCCTCCTCCTCCTCCTCCTCCTCCTCCTCCTCCTCCTCCTGCACGATCTGCCTGGACGTGCCAAGACGTGCCTGGATTTACCTGGACTTCTCGGCATCTCCCTCGATCTGTCCGGCTTGCTCCCCACAAGTCGATTGGCAAAAAGTCGTCAAGCCCTCGGGGACCCTGGAGGAGCAAGAGCACGCCATCCGCAGGACCTCTCGGAGCTCCGCGCGGATACCTCTCAGAGGTCGGCGCTGGGCCTCCCCATGCGGCGCCTCCGCGCGGAGCTCCGGAAGTGCACGGCCGGAAATACGATCAAGAAAATGTGCCATCTATAGGAGGGCCCGCACCATACGCCAACACCGATCCTTGCCAGGATCACCCTGGGCCCAGGATCGGTGTATACGCCCTCCTGCCTGGGGCAAGAAAGCATATACACCGATTCGGGGCCCAGGGTGATCCTGGCCAAAATCGGTGTTGGTGTATAGTTGGTGCCCTCCGAATCTAAGAAATCTGGGGCCAGCTTCCCGGACGTTTGTGATATCGGGCAAGTTGGTTAAGACACGCCGGCCCAACTGTTTGGGAGGAGGTTTGTTGATCCTATGCTCGACCATATGCTGATGGCGTTCTTTCCTCTTCGGGCCTCCTCTGCTTCCACGGTGGTCTTCTCCATCCTCCTGTCCTTGATGAGGGCGACGGCCTCCTGGCTAAGCATGCGCGCCAGCGTCACCTCAGCGACGAAAACAAACGTGTCTTGCGCAAGAAGTCATAGCTCGGCGGCGAGCGAGGGGGGGGAGTGAGAAGGAAAAAAGCCTCTCAAAAACGGCGGGACTTCTCAGAACCCCTCTGGCCTTCTGAAAGGTTTGCCGTGTCTTCGGGGTCGGGGAAAACGTAGACTTCTTCTCGGAAGGCCGGGGGACGTCCGAGCCCTCTGGGGCGGCCCGCCACCCCCCCCCCCCCCGCTTCCCCCCAGGCTCGCCGCCGACCTACGCGGTGGCTGTCGCAGGCTGGCGGCACGCCACACTGTAAACGAGGGCGCTCACACGCCATCTGACGCACGCAGCTTCCGCGAGAATGCCCGCGAAGTCGCCCCCGCCCTCCTCCGCCGCTCACCTGGCGGCTGAGCTCCCACTCGGACGACGTGAGCTCGTCCTCCTCCAGGTCGCTGTCGTCGTGGATCACGAACTCGGAGGGCCTTAGAGCCGCCCCGGTGCGCAGCACGCGACCCGTGGCGCGGCGACACGGAGCCCAACACGCAGAGTGAGAACGTAAGCCTGGCGCGCTGCGTTCACCAAAACGCGGGCCGATACGTTGAGCCAAAACGCTGAAGGGGCCCACAAACACACAAATAAATACATATAAATAACCAGATGTCCCATATTTTCCCATGTCTTCTGGGTTTGTGTCTTCACCCCCACTTCCCATATTTTCCCATGTTTTCCTGGGAGTCGACGATTAATTGTGTCTGTGTGTTTCTTTCCCTCCTGAAACGCAGCGTGTTGATACGGACGTTTTGAACACAGCGCGTGCCCTGAGACCCGACGTTGCAGAAGAACCCAACATCGCACAAAAAAAACGAGCCCCAGGCCCCATCTTTCTGCGGCATGTCCCGAGCCCGACCGATCCGTGAGGGTCCCAGGGCCCGAAATGGGGTGCAAAAGCGCCCGCTGCGAAAAAATCCAGGATCTCGGGGCGTTGCGTCAGGTTGGACATGTCCTCCTCTACAGGCGGACTCTGGGAAAGAAAGCTTACACCAAAGAAAGGTAACGTGCCCGAGCGAGCACGAAACCTCGTCCCCAGCCTGCGTAATCACTCTTGGTGGATATTACTCCTGTAGAGGGACATGCCCGACGTCAGCGCTGCGTCGAAAGCAGGGCCGCTGAGCGCAGGGCCCGCCAGCCGGGGCGCCGCCCCCCACGGGCGGCTGGCCGCACAGCGAGCCGCCGCTGCCCGAGGTGCTGCCCGCCGAGGCGCTGCCCTCCGAGGGGCTGCGCAGCGGCGGCCCGCTGCCGCCCGAGGTGCTGCCGCCCGAGGCGCTGCCCTCCGAGGCGCTGCGGAGCGGGCCGCCGCCGCCCGCGGAACAGCCGGCCGCCGCCGCCAGCAGGCCGCAGGTCCAGGCGCCCTCGGGCTCCTCCGGCCGCGGCCCGGGCCCGGGTCCAGGTCCAGGGCCGGCCGCGGCGGCGCCGCCGCCCTCGGGCGCCTCCAGCGGCGGCCCGTGCCAGCCCCCGGACGCCGCGCGCGAGGCCCGGCGCGGCCGCCACGAGGCCGAGGCCACGACGGCCGCCTCCGGCGGCGGGGCGGCGGGCGCGGCGGCGCGCCGCGGGCGCGGCATCCCGCGCGTGCGCGCCGCGGGGCGGCGGCGCCGCCGCCGGCGGGGCCTCGGGCAGCTCCCGCCGCCGGCGTCGGCGCCGGCGGGCGGCGCGTGGCCGGCCTCGGCCGGGGGGGGCGCCGCCGCGGCGGCGCCGGCGCGCTCCTCGCCGCCCAGGACGGCGTTCCAGCTCTCGGTGCTCGAGAGGTGGTGGCCGAGGGCTTGGGCCACCTCCGTGGTGGTGGAGGTGGAGCCCGCCTGGGTCGTGAGCTGCTGCCAGCGCCGGGGGTTGTTCGCCACCTCCTTCCAGGCGACCTGGACTGCGCCGAGGAAGGCGTCGATGTGGCCGAACGTCTCCTCGCACGGCGGCGACCGCTCCTGCTCCGCGCCCGCGCCGAAGCAGGCCTGCACGCGTGCACCCGCCTCCTCCGCCCTCTGGAGCTCCTGCTGGAGCCTCTCGGCCTCGCCCTGGAGCACCTCCGCGAGGCTCTCGATGCGCTCACGCTCCAGGGCCTCGTCCAAGGTCTCCACGTGGAGCGCGGCCCTGACCTTCTGCGGGGGCGGCTTGGCCACTGGCGGTGGCGGCGGCAGCGGCGGATCCGCCCCCGCAGGCGCGGAGACCAGCGGCTGCCGCAAGGCCGACAGCACGCGGCCCAGCGCCTCGTCGTACCCCTGCAGATCCTGCTGGGCCATCGCCTCGTCCGCCTCGGCCAGGGCCAGCTCCACGGCAGCCTCCACCTCCGCTGGGGGCCGTGGCCCCGCAGCGCCGGCGCCCGAGCGGTAGGCCCTGTGCAGGGCTGCCCTGGCAGCGGCTACCGCGGCCGTGCGCTCCGCCGCACCCCTCGCGCACGAGCCATAGGCGAGGCGCAGGGCATCTCTGGCGGCAGCTCGCGCGAGGGCACGTCGGGGGGGCGGCAACGTCGGAGGCCTCCCCGCGCGTCGGCTGCCCCGCCAGTGCGTCTGCAGGATCTCGGCGGCCCGCAGCCGCGCGGGGTAGCCCGGCAGCCTCTGGAGGTGGCGGCGGGCAAACTCGGCCTCGTCGCAGAACGTCGTGACATCCTTCTTGAGCGCCGTGAGCCTCTCGGAGGAGGCTGCCCGAGTGTGGCTCAGGCCCTGCTGCAGCGAGGACAGGAAGGTCTCGTCCGAGCACCGCAGCGTGAAGCACAGGAAGTGCAGCGCCGAGATGCCGCCCGCCTTGAACGAGGAGAGCATCTGCAGGGACTCCAGGGCGAAGCTGCGGACGACACCCTCCTTGGACACCGTGGCCTCGCCATGGTTGATGAAGTTGCCCACCTTCATGATCGTGTGCAGCAGATTGCGGAGCTGCCTGCTACCGCACACCTCCTCGGAGGCGCGCTGGACAACTGTCAGTCGTCTCAAGGTGTGGCTGTAGACCGAGGAGTGCGACATGGCGGACTTCATCAGCTTCACCTGCGCCATGCTCAGGGCACACAGAGGCAGCATCTTCCGCTCGACATCCCGCAGCTGATGGATGTTCGACTGGTGAGCCATAAGCTTTGTTGCCTCCGATGCTGTAGGGAGGGCCTTTGTCACGAGCTCCAAGTCGTCCAGGCTTAGCCTCGCGCCGCTGACGTCGAACTGGCGAATGCAGTCACACGCTTCTTCTGGCGCCATGCGCAATTTGCTGAGCATGATGGCAGCATTCTGTGCGCGAGCGGTGTCGAGCACAACAATTCCTTCTGGCTGTTTGGGCGCCCAGGTCCGCCTCCGTTTGACCACCGCCGCCTCATCGAATATCGCCGCCAGCAGCCCCTGGTCGAAATTGGGACCGTCACCCGCGGCGATCTCCCCGAATATGCTGTCGGAGGGCGGCTCTTTGAGACTCGGCCGCACCCAATGCAGTTTCCGGCCCAGCGGCAGGACCTCCTGGGGCTTGTCCACACTGGCGCTAGAAGGGCCAGACTTCCTCTGCAGCTTTGTGCTGGCTGCGCTAGCCTTGCCCCTGTCTGGCGGCGGAGCTGGCACCGCCTTGCCCTTGCCCTTGCCCTTGCCCTTGCCCTTGCCCGTGCCTTCTGTGGACGGCGGCCCCGGGACCTTGACGTCCGCGGGCAGCCGCAGCTGCCGCTGCGCAGGCCGCGGGGGCAGCTGCGCGGGCGCGGAGGCCGCCCACGCGCAGCGCGCCAGCCTCACCAGCTCGCCGCCATGCCTGCTGCACGCGACGGCCGTGGCGTGGGCGGCCTCGGCGTCGGCCCGCGCACGGCGCGCGAGCCCCCGCAGCCCCGAGCACGGGCCCCAGTGGAGCGCCGCGGCGGCCGCAACTGCTGCCGCGTGGGAGCCCGAGCCGCCCAGGACGTCTGCCGCGGTGGCGGCTGCGGCCGCGGCCCGCGCCGCGGCAGCGGCCGCGGCCGCGCCGGCCGCTGCGCCCGCGGCCCGCGCCCGGCGGGCGAGCCCGCGGCGCCGGCGGAGCGCCCGCGAGAGGCCCGCCGCTCCGGCCGCCACGGCGCTGTCGACGGAGCACGGCAAGGCAGAGCGAGCCTCTCGGAGCGGCGGGCGGCAGCGCGCTCCTGCGACCTGCGGCATGCTTGCGGGCGGACACGTGCGACAAGAAGAGCCTGGCGTGCGAGAGGGCTTGGGGCCTGGCACCAGACCACAGACGACACCACCCCACCTGCGGCCCTACAGGCCTTGCAGTCGCCCCGTATCATAAGGACGCACGATGAGGATGCAAGGGCCTTGGAAGGCCGTTTCGTTGCTTGTCGAGCGGGGCGCGGCCAACGAAAGTGGCCAAGGATGGACCGAGGAGGCAAGGATGCAATAGGGGTACTCTTGGGAAGGTTCCCCATCCTTCCTATGCGGGCTGACTGTAGCGTATATCATGGGTTCTAGCTTGGGCTGTTGCGTAGTGGTGTCGTTTGTGTTTTGGTCGATCGATATCTGAGAGGCATCGGGTGCTCCTGGCCTTCTGTGGGTCCCTGGGTCCATCGGGGGATAAGAAGTGTCCGTGTGGCACCTGCTGGCAGGCCGATCCCAGACCCCCAGCGTCTCAATTTCTTCGAGACACTGGCCCAGGACTTCTCGACCACTTCCCTGGGAGCCGCTCTTCATCCCGAGACTAGAGGCCTCCCCCATGGGGTTGGAGTGGGCGTGGTCGAAGGATTGCGCCGCATCAGCGATGCATCGACGGCACATCGCCGATGCATCGGCGATGCATCGGCGACGTCGGCAAGGCATCGGCGCCATCGGCGTGGGAAAAATCGGGATCAACATCGAGCAGCACCGCCGATGCATCGGCGATGCGGCACGATCCTGGGACCCCATCTACTCCGACCCCACCTAGGAGGCCTAGAGGAATGTTGAAACTATGAAGAACCTCCGCCCTGACTTTTTCGAGTCCGCCCGAAAAGCTTGTATACTTTACCCAGAAGTCCCGGGGGATGTGCAGGGGTCCCCGTCGTGGGACTCGTAGTCTGCTAGATTCCCTCTCTGGGGCGGGGTTTTTGTATACTGAACTGGGGTGGAATCTGACTAAGGTGGGGAGGGCGTGGTTTTCTATCAGAAAACCAGAAAATTGATCGAGCCGCCAGATCCCAAGAGTGTGCCTTCTGCAAAGGGTGGGGGGTCCTGGGGATAGCGGGCCCCTGGAGCGCTGGACCCTCCTCCGCGGGCCGGCGGTCCTGCGCTAATCCCGCAGGCCCCGCCAGCGAGAGAGGGGGGGCCCGGCAGCAACGCAGTCCGGGGAACGCCGTCCGGAACGGAACGGAACGGAACGGAACGCCTGTGCGGGCATGCGCCCGGGCGGGTGAGGCCATGGCCTCGCATGAGAAGCTGCGCGCGTCGGGGTCTACTCAGGACAATGCGTACTTCAGGAGCTGATTTCCCGGCAAATGCTGCTTCTTCGCAGCAGCGCCCTCCGTAGACGTTTGTCTTGACGATTCTTGTTGGAGTGCACGGCGGCGCCGGCAAGCGCGCGGCAGGGGATGCTCACCAGATGTCGGGCTCCGCAACCCCTGACCCAAAAATGCTGTCATCTCCAGGCGGCCTCGTTCTACTTCCGCCGACCTCCCACAGAGATGCCAACCCTTGGCAAACGCCCCAAATTCTGGCCTTCCGGAAGCAGACAGGCAGTGTCCTCCAACCCTGAAGCATCAGCGCCGCCGGGACCTCTCCCGGGGCGAGCGGCCAGGAGCTCGAAGAGGAACCCGCCCGTTTGCGAGGAGCCCCCCCGAGGCCCAGACAAGAGAACCCGGGGGTGCCCGAAAACCCCCCGAGAGCCGACGCTGCGAACAAGCACTGCAACACATCACGGAACATCACGACCGGCGCTCTGGACCCCATCTTCCTGCGGCACACGCTTCTGCAGTGGCCCTGGGACACACAGATAGATACACACAAGTAAAAATATCCCCATAGTTCCCATATGTTCTGGGCTTTTGTCTTCCCCCCCACTTCCCATATTTTCCCATATCTTCGGAGGAATCAACGATTAATTGTGTCTGTGTGTTTCTTTCCCTCCTGATCTTCGAGCCGGGCCGATCTGTGATGGCCCCGGGCCCGACCCCGGGCGGGCACACCCGCTGGGAAGAATCACACCCAGATCTCAGGACCCAGACAGCTGGCGCTACCATCAGGGGGACGTAAGACCTGGGTACAGGGGACTCGGAAATCCCCGACGAGGTCGTCAAAAAAATGACGAGGCCGAGCCTGCATTTTAACGAGACCTCCCGCTGCAGACATCCCGAGAAACTCCTCCTCGTCAAAATCCGAGGCGCGGTCGTCAAAAAACAATGGCGAACCCGAGTCCTGGCAAACCCGGGTCTTACGCTCCCCCGGTACCATGTTTCCGCTGCGTGGACCCCTGGAGGTCTGGACCTTTGTGGGCCCCGGAAACGGCAGGGCCGTGTTTTCACCGCTTCCAAAAAAATTATACTTGAAAATGAAAACAGCCAAAAAAACGGCGACCGGAAACGGCAAAAAAACGGCTCCAGGATTGGAACCCGAGCCAGAACCGGTCAAAAAACGGCGACGGAAGCGGTAAAAAACCGGCGTCGGAACCGGCAAAAAAAAACGGCAGAACGGAAGCGGTAAAAAAGCGGCCCTGTCGCTTCCAGGGCCCACTGAGGTCTGGACCACTTCCCCGCAGAGCCGGCTCTTCCTCCTGAGCTGTTTTTGACAACCTTGGGACCCGCGGAGGGGCCCCCGGGAGCCGAAAAGCCGCCACCGTGCCGCTGGGCACGGAGTGGGCGTGTCCTCAGCTCCTCTGGCCAATCCTTGGGCCTCAGTCCTCGAGCTGAACGGTTTTGACGGGGCCTGGACCCACAATTCATTGCCTTTAGGTGTTTGAAGGTTTTGGGCGTTCTCGCCTTTTCGGCTTTCCGACGCTCCCAGACGGCCCTAGAGGCCCCCAAGATCGCCCCAAGACGGCCCAATAGGCTTCCAAGAGGGCCCCAAAACGGCCCAAGAGGGCCCAAGAGGCGCCCAGGACGCCCCAAGAGGCCCCCAAAACAGCCCCATGAGGGGCCACAAGTGGGAGACCCGAGCGGACATTTCGAGCCCTCCCTCCCCAAGAGGCCCCCAAGAGGCCCCAAGAGGCCCCCAAGAGGCCCCAAGAGGCCCCCAAGAGGCCCCAAGAGGCCACGCCCAGGGCCTCTCGACCACTCTCCCGGGACAGGTTTTGAATCCCGAGTCGCTTGTTGACGGCCCCGAGGCCTCGTAAGGGACCCGAGAGGCCGCAAGTAACGCGTGGCGCCTACGCATGTGCAGGACCGCTCAATGCGCAGGAACATACTGGCGGATTGGCAATACTCGTGAGCGCCTTGACAGAGAACGCAAGGCCACACTCAACTGAGCGGAGCGAAGCGACATTGGGCGAGACCATGCGAACGCAGCGCAGCCACTGGAGCCACGAAACGTGTGAGGGGTGTGTCGAAATGGGGCGGGGCCGCATGCGACCGCAGCCACTGGGGCCTTCGGTGGGGCCCCCTATGGCGTCACGAAACGTGTGAGGAGTCTTCCGCAGTAGGGCGGGACACCATGTGAATCCAACCGCTGGCGCCTTCGTCGGAGCTCCCTGTGGGGCCACGAAACGTATGAGGGGTGCGGGCCCTCGGTGGAGCTCTCTGTGGGCGTGAGAAGTGTGCCGAAACGAGGCTGGGCACAGAGTGATTGTCGGTGCAGCTCCACGTGGGGCCACGAAACGTGTGAGAGTGTGCCGACATGGGGCGGGTTACCATGTGAACCCAGGCACTGGCGCCTTCGGTGAAGCTCCCTGTGGGGCCACGAAACTCGTGAGATGTGTGCCGAAATTGGGCGGCGATGATGGTGACGACAACGATGATGACGACGATGAGGATGATGCTGGTGAGGTGAGGTGGGATGGAGCGAGGCGCTGCGAATTCAAAACGATGACCCGAGACACAGCTGGGGCCCGAGGCCCGGTGAGGGCCCTGGCCCCGAGGCCGAAGAGTATGAGAAACCTCTGCCTCGACTTTCGTCTCGCGACGCCAGATCTCCGGGGATCTCTGGCGATCGATCTCTCTACACACCCCAGACCGGCGCGCCAAGTCTGAGGCGGCTCCGCGCGGCAGCCGGCTCGCGCGGCAGCTGCCGCCGCAGCGGCCCCCGCCGCGGCGGCCCCACGGCGACGCGGATGCTGCACCTCGTGGGCAGAAAAGAAGGCGCACTGTCAAGAGCTGCTGCTTCGCATGGCGCTGCGGCGGCCCCGGCGACACGCTGCGCCCTGCAAGCGGACAGCGTGTCGCTCCGCTCCGCGGGGCGGGAGGCTGGAAAAGGCTCGGGACGTTGAAGCCTGGAGACTGGAAAGTGGATAGCGTGTCACGCTATCCCAAAATTCCCGACCGTATCCATCTCCGCGGCCTCGCGGGCTGGGCCTCTGGGCCGCGACTCCGCGGATACCCAGACCCCCAACGTCATGAGTTGTTCATAACATCGACCCCCACAGATAACGACCCATTCCCTGGGACCAGTTTTCCGTGCTGTGTCGCCTCCTGGCGGTCCAAAGGTCCAGCAAGGCCACTCAAAAACCGAAAATACAAACAAACAAAAGAATAGATCACGACGCGAAGGGATATGGGAACGTATCCGTGCGACCACGTATCCGCGGGATCGCGCCCCGGAAGTCAGACCGCGAGGGCGCGGATAGTGAACGGCGGTTCAACCAGCTGTCTTGCGTGAGCCCAGTGACGGCCAGAAGGGCAAGGGGCAGAGGCAGGGCGACGAGAAACGCAGGAAGGACCAAGACCAAAGGCACTGCGATGAAAAACAAAAAACAAAAGGCTGTTGGCGCTCCCAACGGATTTCTTGGATCTGCGCTGGACCCCCCTGAGCGCGCCAGGGGTGGCGTTGGAGGTGCCGCCAGGGGGAACCACGCCGATCCAAGAAATCCGCGCGGACCGTCAAAGCTGATGTGCATGCTGTTTTTTCTTCTTCGAGAACGACATCTCCCATGCCATTGTCCCTACGCACACACATACACACACACACACACACACACACACACACACACACACACACACACACACACGCGGGGGGGGGGGGCGGAGACAGTCAAACGGCATAATGAGGATGCGCCGTAAGGATGCAAGGGCCTTGGAGGGCCACGCGAACGTCTTTCGAACGAGGCTGTCCAGCGAAAGCCGCCGAGGATGGGCCGAAGGGGCAGGGATGCAAGGGCAGCCTTGGACAGTTGCTCATCCTCACTGTGCGGTTTGACTCTATTGAAGGGGCCTCAGGACACACAAATCAATACACACAAATAAGAAGATTCCCCATAGTTTCCTACATGTTCTGGGCTTTTGTCTTCCCTCCCACTTCCCATTGTCTCCCATGTTTTCCTGGGGGTCGACGATTCATTGTGTCTGTGTGCTTTTCCCCTCCTGATCTATGTTAGGAAGGCACCAACTATACACCAACACCGATCCTGGCCAGGATCACCCTGGGCCCAGGATCGGTGTATACGCCCTCCTGCCCTGCGCAAGAAGGCATATACACCGATCCTGGGCCCAGGGTGATCCTGGGCCAGGATCGGTGTTGGTGTATAGTTGGTGCCCTCCGATATGTTTGCCCGCTCGCGAGCACCAGCCCGCCCACGCGCACAGCAGGTCCAGCGCCGGCCCCCGGGCGGCCGAGGTCTGGCCTGGGCGGGCCGTGGAGCTGAGCACCGCGGCCCTCCTCCTCCTCCTCCTCCTCCTCCTCCTCCTCCTCCTCCTCCTCCTCCTCCTCCTCCTCCTCCTCCTCCTCCTCCTCCTTCTCCTCCTCCTCCTCCTTCCGCGACCCTGTGGTCGCGGGGCCCAGACCTCCTCGGGTCATGGAGGAACCAACAAAAAAAACACGCGAGGGACGTCTTTGCTGCTATTTTCGGCCGCTGGGGGCCCTGCCGGGCCCTGGGACGGTCGAGAAACGAGCCAGAGTGGGAAGTCAGTCACGGGAAAGGGTCGCAGTCACGGGGAATAGGTCGAGAAGTCTGGGGATCGGCATTGTGGAAAATCATGACGTCGGGGGCCCGGGCACCGCTGCCCTTCGCCTGCGCCCGCCTTAGTCCTGAGCGAGTCCCTCCTCCTCCTCCTCCTCCTCCTCCTCCTC